AGAGTTGTTAGCTGCTACAGTGCAAGCATACAGCATTTAGAACTACTCAGACTTTGCACTTTAGGACTATCACGATCCTTCTGCTATATATTCTGATTTTTCCAACTAATTCACACTAGTTTACCACCTTTTTTTTTGTTTTTGACAAAAAGAAAAGTCAGTCTGTGGGCAATATTACATTTTGTACAAACTTGCACATTTCTTATGCTTTTATGGTACACATTTTCTTCCAGTTATCCTACTTATCTTCATATGCAAATCTCGCCATCAAATACAACACACTACACACATCACTATGTACAGTATATTAATTAAGAAGCAAAAAGCAATGCCTCCCAGCCCTTCATAACAGAATAAGAAATTTTTATATTTAAACCCTGTTCTTCATTCATTTAAAAACATTAACAGTATTAAGTATTACAATGTAACATACACAAGATTTCAGTGGAAAGACACCCTTGGAACAGTTAAGACAGCTCTCCTGTTATGAAGCATGGGCACAGGACCAGAAAAAACAGCTTCAATGAACACATGAACTGGTTGCTAATAAGCATTTTAGGGAGGAATAAAGGGACAGAAGAAAGCTCTGCTGGAGGATGAATGGGAACTGACCTGAGGCACATCCAAAACCAACACTAATACTAACCAGGAATAAGGATATGCACTTTTACCCAGCTGAATCAGCCCACCTCTTTATACTTTATCCGCCCAGTAGCCTTTTGATCTCTGTTCCCACATTTACTTTCATTGCTTTGCAACTCATCATCACCACATCTCACTCTGAAGCAGAGGATCTCTGCCTTTGAACAGAAAGGAAGGCATTGTGCTTAATGGATTCACCTGGCAATAGTAAGCAAGGTATTAAAAGTAGATCAGGTAGCAGGAAATAGGAGGTAGATGTGATGCCCCACTAGAAATTACAGGTATACAACATTTACTTCAAATGTATAAAATTACACTCTCAAGTGAATCAAAATATTTAATATTTTGATTTAAATTTTTAGACTGTATTTATTTTGTTGATGTGAAAGCAATCTTGGATTTTCCCTAATAGTTGTGCAAATGTAACCAACGATTCAAAACACAAGTTGGGAGTTGCTTTCTTTTTACTGCCAGTAACCTACAATTATGCAGCTGCAGATGAGGGCATGAGTTAGAGGTTTCTATAGCCTTATCAGTGCCCTGCCCTCAAATCAGGAATAGAACAAAGATAAACTACCGTCTCAAATATTATTTGGAGTGCAGAGAAGTTGGGTCATTTTTATTAAGCCAGTTTTCCTAATCACAACCAAGTAACAGATAACCAAGAGTTAATGAATGGTCAAGAACACAGGCTTGCCTAATGACAAGGGTGATTCTTCATTATCTAGGAAAGCACAAGATTTTTTGCTACTGTCCTCTCAGCTTTCCCTGTCCTTTAATGAAGAATACCATTTAATATGAGTTATTGCACATTTTAAAAAAAGACAACACACACACAAGAAAAAAAAAAACAACCTCCAAGAAAGTGCAAGATACTAGGAAGCACTAGGGTGGTATCACACAGTCTCTTTAGAAACATCTGTAGTAACTCTGTACTAAGTTGGCTGGGAGTGTTGATCAGCTGAAGGATAGGAAACCTCTACAGAAAGGGATCTAGACAGGATGGAAGGATGGGCTGCGAGCACTGGCATGAGGTTCAACAAGGCCAAGTCCGGAGTCCTGCACTTGCGCCGTAACAACCCCATGCAACACTACAGGCTTGGGGAAGACTAGCTGGAAAGCTGCTCAGTGGAAAAGGACCTGGGGGTGCTGACTGACAGAGCTGAACATGAACCAGCTTGCGCCCAGGCAGCCAATAAGGCCAACAGTATCCTGGCCTGTTATCAGCAATAGTGTGGCAGCAGGGCCAGGGTAGCTATCAGCCCCCTGTACTGGGCACTGACAAGGCCACACCTTGAATTCTGTGCTCAGTTCTGGGCCATTCACTGGAATAGGTCCAGGAAAGAGCAACAAAGCTGGTGAAGTGTCTGGAGAATAATTCTGATGAGGAATGGCTCAGGAACTGGGGTTGTTTAGTCTGGAGAAGAAAAGGCTCAGGGGGACCTTACTGCTCTCTACAACTACCTGAAAGGAGGCTGTATTGAGGTGGGGGTCAGTCTCTTCTCCCAAGCAACAAGAGACAGGACAAGAGGCAAGAGCCTCAAGCTGCACTGGGGAGGTTTAGACGGGGTATTAGGAAAGATTTCTTCACAGAGAGGGTGACCAGGTATTGGAACAGGCTTCCCAGGAGAGAGGTGGAATCACCATTCCTGGAAGCGTTCAAAAACTGCAGAGAAGAGGGCCCTCAGTGATAACAGTTTAGTGGTGGCCTTGGCAGTGCTGGGGTAATGGCTGGACTTGATGATCTTAAAGGTCTTGTCCAACCTAGTTTATTCTATGATTCCATGATGAAAATTCAGCTACTAGCTGTTATCCTCTACTCACACAAACTGCATCTGCCCATGCATCAAGCCAAGATAGGGAGAACAAATCTGAAGTTTTCCTCCTGCTTAGGAAGCAGCTGCCATGTTTTAGTGCTATGATTATTTTTCTTGTGAAATGATATCTCACTATTTCTCTTACAACTGACACATTTTGATATATGTTTACATGAAATGTATCTCTAATACTTGCATTATTTTCTTACTCCTAAAACTTCAGAACTATAAATTTAAGAGAATCTTAGGTTAAAATTTTGGGTCAGAGAGAAATGTTTATGGTTCAGTAACAAAAAAAACTAGTTCAGAAACAGAAACCAAAATGTTTAGTTACACAACTCCTATGTTCTATGCCAAGAACGCCAACATCATCATTGGCACAGAACATGATTCATAAAATTACTAAGCTTACTAAATTTCATTACAGTATTATCATTTAATGTCTGTTAGCCAATCCGTAAAGTCAAACAAAAGTATCCTTCTGTTATCATAGCCATGTAAAACTATCTCTACTTTGTTAACAGATTTTCTGTAGGGTTCCTGCTTATTTGTCTAGAAATAGATTCTAGCTGAGTCATATTAAAGAAAAATCCAAGAAGAATCTTCTAGAGGACTAATTTCCAACCTCGCAATAACATGATGTATACAGTAACAACCACTGCATAAAATTTAAAGGCTTCCTGAACTTGTTCAAGGACTGTATTTATGGGTGTGCAGATGGGAAAAGAGAGCCTAAATCAGATTAGGGAATGCTAAGGATGAGGATTTACCTTTATTACTGCCCCTTTCTGGGTTTTAGTGTTTATCTTATGTCCGGAAAACGTCTGTGTAAAACTGAATTCAGCAAACTTAAGTCACTTTCTAAACACAAGCTCTTAAATCACCCTTTTGAGTACAAATGGTTGGTCAGTCTTCAATTCTCATCTTGGAGATAAGATAAACAATAGGCTAGTTTATAAAAGGTGGACACCACCACACTCATGTTTTTTCATTAAAGAAGCTATGACTAAGCTGCTACATGCTGAACTTCAAAATGAAAGATAATTTAACCATACGGCCTTGCCAGTCTCCTCGAGGGATTCAGGTGAAGGGACAGAAAAACATCTGTGAAACCCAAGAGACTTTAAACTGCAATGCAAGTCATAAGATTATCACAGTTGGAACCAACAGTAGCAAACTTTCAGGCACTTCAGTACCTTTATTAGTGAATATCTTGCTGGCTGCAGACTTTCAAACACACAATTGGCTGTTCAGAGATTCTCTGGATTGCTATGCTGAACTTGGGCTACTTTCAAGTCGGAATTTTAAGAACTACTCAAAAAGAAAATATGATATTCATCTGCAAGATAACCTGAAGGCAAATGTGCAGGATATCCTTACTTACAGAGCTCTAAAGCAAATTACAAAAAAAAAGATGTAATAAAAGGAATCTTAAAGAAAAAAAAAACAGAACAAAAACCCAAAAAACAACATAAAAAGGTTTCATCATTTGACTGAAAATAGGAATATTACCCTTTACCGCCACACTTCTTCAGAGCACTTCCACATGCAGGAACTGTTTCCAGAAATGAAACCACCTATTCTAGGTAAAATCTGATACGGACTTAAGACAAAATTCATATGAATTAACAGCATTATGTCTAGATGGTTTTAGGTTTATTTTACTTAGCAGTTGCATAACCTTTCAGCTACCACCTTCCAATTCTCATTTTCCCTAGATTTTCTACAGGAGTATGCAAGAATTTTATAATGTCAACATCAGAAAGAATTACACAGCATCGGACAAGGCTGCAAAATGCTTTTCTATTCAATCTCTTTTTAAGAGCTCTGTTGTACAAAATACGTCAACATTTTAGTATTTGATGAGCACAGCGGGCTTGCTGTAGGTCAAGCTATAGATAAGCTTCAAAAATTATTGGCAGGATCGATGATACTGAATTTCCTGAAAACAGAGAAAAAAAAGTAAAAATAAAAAAAAAGAGGTTTCAACTAACCTCCCCAGAAGATACAAGAACGGAACTGCTAACATTAGAGTGTAATCTCTTGTACACAATCTGCCTCACGAGCTAAGAGCAGTATCAGCTATTTGGCAAACTGAAGTGACCTATAACCACTGTTACCAACGTCAACAAACTAAAAAAGAGAACAGACGCATGCAACAACAAGATGTTCTTCAAAATGGTTACTACTGATTTATCAACCCCATACCACATGCACCTCTACAGTCATCCCAGAAAAGTCATGAAAAATACTCATGCTAAAGCCTATGCAAAGGCTTCTTACTCAAAACATATATAACATATACCAAAAAGCTTTTTCCTCTTGCCGAGGAAAGAAAAATGCTACACTTCTCTAATTTGAGAGCTACTTCATTTAATACTCTTATTGAAGAAGGAAAAAGTTAAAATGCCACAGTGGTTTGTTAAGGATATCTACAAAGCACCTGGAATATAACTACTTTCAAGAGAGACACTAATTTCCATGCAATTAATCCAGTATTCCACAAATGGTATATCTGACTGAAACAGAAGTTCTACATACCTCAAAGCCAAGTCTATCTTTTTCTTTCCAAAAACAGAAATGTGTAACCTTCTTATCCCAGAATTCATCTGGCTTTACTACACAAACAAGTGACACCTCAGCTGGAACAACGTTCTGTAAGACAAATGAAAAAAGTAAACCATTCAAGATTAAACCTTCAATTACCACAAAGCTGAATTCCACTTATATGCCATCATTTATTCAAGAACTTAGTTTAATTTCTGTCTGTTAAGTCTGCTGCACCTGCCTTGCATGCCACCTCCATCCCACTTTGAGGAAGACTGCACTAAATTTCATGGCAAAATTGTGTTAAAACTGACAGAAAATCTAATCTCTTTACTCCCAGTTTCTGAGGCTTAAGCATTAGTCTGTGCTACACCAGTAAAAAAAACACATGAGTTATTGGCTAGACTTAATTTATGGCATTTTCCTTAAAAGAAAAAATATGAAGGATAACAAAGCTTTCTACCTATGTAATTTGCTATGTAGAATAAAACGGTAATTATGAAGTAAGAAAAAAATTGCACACTTTGTCATTAAATCACATGACAAGAATATATCCTATAATTCTCTAGTATGTACTGCTTAGACTAGAAAGAAAGGGTGTAATATTAGTTCATAGGACTATTACAAAGAAAACAGTCCTCTGCCTAAAAGAATAATTTAATCTACCAGGTTGATTTTATGCTGGCACACTGAATGCAGATGAAGGAATAGAGACTCTTGATTACTCAAGTCACCAGCTATAGCAATAAGCAACAGTAATTACAGTACTGACATAAAAGTGACACAGTCCATGGGATTTCTCTTTAATGCCTTATTTAAAAAAATATAATTCTCAAAAAGTTAAGTTTACCTAAGTCAGAAATCACAGCGTTTAAAAATAAAGAAGATATTTCATTCTTTAATGAATATACAAAAACTTTCTGCCACACAACATCCTTGTCTCTAAATTGGAGAGACATCAATTTGATGGATGGACCACTCGGTGGATAAAGAACTGGCAGGATGGCCACCCACAAAGAGCTGTGGTCAATGGCTCAGTGTCTGGGTGGAGACCAGTAACAAGTGGTGTCCCTCAGGGATCAGTGTTGGGACCGGTCTTGTTTAACATCTTCGTCGCTGATACGGACAGTGGGATTGAGTGCGCCCTCAGCAAGTTTGCCGATGATACCAAGCTGTGTGGTTCGGTTGATACCCTGGAGGGAAGGAATGGCATCCAGAGGGACCTTGACACGCTTGTGAGGTGGGCTGATGCCAACCTCATGAAGTTTAATTATGCCAAGTGCAGGATCCTACACATGGGTCAGAGCAATCCCAGGCACAGCTACAGGTTGGGCAGAGAAGAGATTCAGAGCAGCCCTGCAGAGAAGGACTTGGGGGGGGCTGGTCGATGAGAAAGTGAACATGAGCAGGCAGCGTGCGCTTGCAGCCCAGAAAGGCAACCGTATCCTGGGCTGCATTAAAAGGAGCGTGACCAGCAGGTTGAAGGAGGTGATCCTGCCCCTCTATTCTGCCCTAGTGAGACCTCACTTGGAGTATTGTGTGCAGTTCTGGTGTCCTTAACATAAAAAGGACACGGAACTGTTGGAACAAGTTCAGAGGAGGGCCACGAGGATGATCAGGGAACTGGAGCACCTCCTGTATGAAGACAGGCTGAGAAAGTTGGAGCTGTTCAGCCTGGAGAAGAGAAGGCTGCGTGGAGACCTCATAACAGCCTTCCAGTATCTGAAGGGGGCCTATAGGGATGCTGGGGAGGGACTGTTCACTAGAGACTGTAGTGACAGGACAAGGGGTAACTGGTTAAAACTTAAACAGGGAAAGTTCAGATTGGATCTAGGAGGAAGTTTTTTACTGTTAGGGTGGTGAGGCACTGGAATGGGTTGCCCAAGAAAGTTGTGAATGCTCCACTCCTGGCAGCGTTCAAGGTGACATGGTTTAGTGTGATGTGTCCCTGCAAGGGGGTTGGAACTAGATGATCTTAAGGTCCTTTCCAACCCTAACTAGTCTATGATTCTATTTAAAAGTAGACAAAATATTTAACATACAACTGTCTGATGACCAACCAGCACCTATCTGTGCCCAAGCAGAGAGTAATCTCAAGTGGTGTGCACTAGTGATTAGTTTACATCAGAAAATCTTCATTACTTCCTTCTCAAATTAGATACAGATGTGCAACCTATATTTCTGCAGGCTTCACACTGGCAGGAACTGTGCTAACAGGAAGCAGTAAAATCTGAGCACGGGCAAACTACCTTCACCACTAGCTGAAGTTCCCACTAAATGCCACAACTGCACATTAGCTGAAGTGAAAGCTCAGTTGAGATCGTAATCAGAATATAGTGGATCCAATTACTCTACTAATAGGAATGACATCTTAGTGAAGAATAGGTGAAAGACACCCTGAAACAGACTTAAAAACCCAGGAGCAACAATAAGCCAGAATGACAATAAAATGAAATAATTCAAATTTTACATACTTTGAGGCTTCATTTAAGTTTGAGAGGAAAACTGCTCTAGTAGAGAGAAATTATCTGAGCAGAAAGCAAGGCAGTAGTCAAAGTTCTCTCTTCAAAGCGCTGTATCATGCATTGTCTTTTACCACTGAGACCAGAAAATAAACAATACTGTTTAGCAGACTTTACTGTAACCCTACCATTCTGAAAAGCTAAAATAATAAATTGTTGTAAATTTCTTTAATTGGGAATCGGAACTTTCCCCCCCCTTCTTCTATTTTGTGTAGCATCCAGCAAAAAGAGCTTTTTCAAATACATGGCAGATAAAACTAACACCAGAGGCAATGTAGGCCCACTGATGAACGGGATGGGTGCCCTGGTGACAGAAGATACAGAGATGGCAGAGTTACTGAATGCCTTCTTTGTTTCTGTCTACTCTGCTGCAGGCAGTCCTGAAGAGCCCTGTACCCCTGAGACCTTAGATGAAGTCAGGTCAACGGAGCGGTCTGCCTTAGTCGATGAGGAATGGGTTAGAGACCAGTTGAGCAATCTGGACATCCATAAATCCATGGGTCCAGATGGCATGCACCCGCGGGTGCTGAGGGAACTGGCGGAAGTCATTGCTAGACCACTCGCCATCATCTTTACCAAGTCTTGGGAAACGGGAGAGGTGCCTGAGGACTGGAGGAAAGCAAATGTCACTCCAGTCTTCAAAAAGGGCAAGAAGGAGGACCCGGGTAACTATAGACGGGTCAGCCTCACCTCCATCCCTGGGAAACTGATGGGACACCTTATCCTTGGTGACATCTTAAGGCATATCAAGCATAAGAGGGTTATGAGGGGCAGTCAACATGGCTTCACCAAGGGGAAATCATGTTTGACCAATCTCTTAGCCTTTTATGAGGAAATAACACGGTGGATGGATGATGGCAGAGCGGTGGATGTGGTCTACCTTGACTTCAGCAAAGCATTTGACACAGTCTCCCACGGCACCCTCACAGCTAAATTGAGGAAGTGTGGTCTGGATGATCAGGTAGCGAGGTGGACTGTGAACTGGCTGAAGGAGAGAAGCCAGAGAGTTGTAGTCTATGGGGCTGAGTCTAGTTGGAGGCCTGTAACTAGTGGAGTGCCTCAAGGGTCAGTACTGGGACCGCTATTATTTAATATATTCATCAACGATTTAGATGAGGGAATTGAGTGTACTATCAGCAAGTTTGCTGATGACACTAAGCTGGGAGGAGTGGCTGACACGCCAGAAGGCTGTGCTGCCATCCAGCGAGACCTGGACAGGCTGGAGAGTTGGGCAGGGAATAACTGGATGAAATATAACAAGGGAAAGTGTAGAGTCCTGCATCTGGGCAGGAACAACCCCAGGTTCCAGTATAGGTTGGGAAACGACCTGTTAGAGCAGTGCAGGGGAGAGGGACCTGGGGGTCCTAGTGGACGACAGGATGACCATGAGCCAACACTGTGCCCTTGTGGCCAAGAAGGCCCATGGCATCCTGGGGTGTATTAGAAGGGGGGTGGTTAGTAGGTCGAGAGAGGTCCTCCTTCCCCTCTACTCTGCCCTGGTGAGACCGCATCTGGAATATTGTGTCCAGTTCTGGGCCCCTCAGTTCAAGAAGGACAGGGAGCTGCTGGAGAGAGTCCAGTGCAGGGCAACGAAGATGATTAAGGGAGTGGAGCATCTCCCTTATGAGGAAAGACTGAGGGAGCTGGGTCTCTATAGTTTAGAGGAGACTGAGGGGTGACCTTATTAGTGTATATAAATATATAAAGGGGGAGTGTCACGAGGATGGAGCCAGGCTCTACTCAGTGGCAAACAATGATAGGACAAGGGGTAATGGGTACAAACTGGAACACAAGAGGTTCCACTTAAACTTGAGAAGAAACTTCTTCTCAGTGAGGGTGACGGAACACTGGAACAGGCTGCCCAGGGAGGTCGTGGAGTCTCCTTCCCTGGAGACATTCAAAACCCGCCTGGACACATTCCTGTGTAACCTTATCTAGGTGTTCCTGCTCTGGCAGGGGGATTGGACTAGATGATCTTTCGAGGTCCCTTCCAATCTCTAGCATACTGTGATACTGTGATTGCACCAGAACCTGCTCAGCTGCACTACCAGTGTGAAGTTGCTGCCCTGAAGACATTCCTACTACTCACCATTAATAATGCCAGAAGCATATTTCTGTGTTTTAACTAAAACTCTGTTTTAGAAGAGAGTCTACAATTGGGTGTTCTCAGCATGTAATGTATTTGTCCCTCAACTTAAGCGAGGCATATCATCCACATTTCAGACGGTTTCTTTTTGCACTGAGCTGTCATAGAACCACATTTTGTAATTTTAAGAGGCTATATATTGTCTATTTCTCAGTAAAGATATTACTACATCTACAATAACAGAGCTATTGGATTCACATCTATAAAATTAGTCAGTAAAAAATTTATTTACCTGTAGCATTAACACAACTGTCTTTACCACGTTCCACTGTGATTTTCTGCCATCCACTATCACAGTAAATCCTCTAGCTTTGCACTTCTCACTGAAAGAAGAAAAACACTTAGGAAAAAAATTTGTGTCTGATAAAGTTGTAAGTAACCAAAACCCCTGAAATTTACATAAGGTAGAACAGCATTTCATAATCTTTAGTGCCCAAATCTGCAATTACAAAACCAAACCATTTCTGTGATCTTCTGAGCTTACAAAAAACAAAGCAACCTGCATGTAACAGTAAGCATTATGTTTCATACTGAGAAATGCAACTGTTATTTCATGCTTAAAAAAAACAAAATGCAAACAAAAATGGCAATGATTTTTCCATACTGCCACTATAAAAGAAAGGTCATTTTTCTTCATGACTGACAAACAGAACATTAGACGATTTCCCAGTTTGTATAGAGAACAAAGAACTTTGGTTGCATTTTCACACAGTTATTCTTACACTAATATATGTAAAAACATATATCACGTTGAGACAGCAGAACAACTGACACTTGCTAGAATCACAATGCCTGCATCTGTTCCATAAATACAGCCAAATCCTTAAGTTAATGAGATGACTGGCTCAGATGACCATTTGGTATTTTCATCACTTTACAAAAGACAACAAGCTGTTTGAAAAACCCTAAAATATCCACAACTAAGATGTTGTGCGATATCCTCATATACCTTATGTGTTACTTGTAAGCAACCTGAATTTATTCTTTGCTTCTCTCCCCAATCAGAATTTTTTAAAAATCTTAACTACAAAAAACAAACAAACAAACAAAAAAACACCACACATTTAATTGTGTTTTAAGAACATTACTAAATTGCAATAAGCAAAGTACATTAGTCTTCAGCCATTGCTCCTCTGTTTCCAGAAGAGGAATTTAAATGGATAACAAAAGCAATCACCTATCCAAGAAGCTTCCTGCCTTCTTAAATCAGCGGCACAAGGAAAAAAAAAAAAAAAAAAAAAAAAAAAAAATCTATGACAGATCAATCTCTGGATCTTAGGAAAATGTGGTTAACTAAGCTAGGACCAACAACTGTCACTATAAACTTGCAGCGTTACATGCACAGAACTTAACAATGATTTTACAGCAAGGTCTGGATGAGAGGATACTCAAATCATCATTCAGCACATTTAAGTAGTATTTAAACATTTGAGTTGCTCACTAACTTCAGTAAGACTTTACATGTTTTTAAACTCGCTGCATACTTATGCACTACTATCTACAAAGATTAGGCACATAGAATAGTAAAGATAGAAGAGGAAGCTTTTTTTACTTTGGGCATTGCTACCTTTGCAAGCTTAGGAATTTCATTAGAATGGCTCATTAATTTACATAGCAATTTAAGAGCACTGACATCAAAAAGAAGTTAAAAACATCCCAAGAAAGGAATGAGGAAATAAACAAGGCAAAAAAAGAAAAAAGAAAAAAGTGTCAAATATACAATATAAAAGGATATATGCAAACCTTGGCAGATGCCCCCAGTTAAACAGGATGTATGCTTCTAATTTGGTCAGACAGTATCACATTTTAAACATTACTGAAGAGAAAGTAAGAAGAAAAAAAAAAAAAAACATAAAAATATCCCTTCCACCACCAGAAAAGGTGGCAGCCCTGAACAGAATGCCTTTGAAATCACCTTGGGATACTTAGCAGATAGTCTAGTGTGACACTCAGCTCATCCATGCTTGTCTGTTCAAGGCATAATGGAATTGTCAGAATGAGGCCACTTCTTCTGTCCTTCCCTCCTATTTCAGGGGGAAAAAAAAAGTCATTAGAAAGGTAATATGACGGATTAAAGGTAAAAGAAATACTTTGCAGTTACATAGTCTCAAAATACATCATAAGAGTAAACTTCAAACTTGCTGTGAAACTAATATTGCACCTCTCAGTTCCAAGGATTCGTTTACCACATTGATGTTTAAGGCATCACCAAGGCTTCAGAGCACAGACTACATCTGTAGCTGTCACAGTCTTTCATCTAGTACTTTCAACATAAACACCACAAATCAAGTTTTCCAAAAGCATTATTTTTGCATATCTAGATTAAACTGTTAAAAAGCATCTTGTAGTCCTTCTGTATTACCAGCATGACAGAAACAGTAAGCTTCCAAAGTGAGCATGTACCCAGCAGCTCCCACTGGAACACACTTCCTGGAAGTATCAACTACACAAATGCAGGATCTTGTACTACACAGGCTGCCCATGACACATACTCTGAATTGGTAGCTCATTCGAACACGTAAGATTTCCAGACCTGCTTCAAAACACGTAACAGTCACCTTACACTGGAGATAAATATTTCCAACGAGTTGCTTTAATCTTCATATGTATTTTCAAACCCTTCTGGTAAAAGTTTTACAAGAAATATCAGCAACAAAAATCTTGAAAGAGCTGGCCTCATATTTTTACGTCCATTAGGAAATCCAGTAAGATAAAGTATTAGCTGATGCTGATGTGCTGCACTTAAGTCGACTGTTCTGCAACCATGGTTTGGGTTGTTCTTGACTACACAGATTCTCAAGAAAGTCTCTGGAAAGGTACAGTTAAAAAAAAAAAAAATATGGATCATTATGAAAGCTGATTTTTTTTTTCTTCTGGTGTTTCCACTCAAGACTGACTTCTTGAGTCACACAGGTATAAACCAGTAATCAAAATGGATTTGAACTAGGTTCTTTCTCATATCTTAAATTAGAACTTGAGCTAAATCCACTGAATTTGGAACAGCTCATCTAGTTCATATATTCTCCACTTTGAGAGAACCACCTTACCTATTTTTTTTTACCTTTCTGCCCTTGAATTTTTTAATGTCTAACCAGCAAGAAGAAAAGAAATCTTAATTTAAAAACCCAATCAAGTGTCTCGGTTGGGGAACCACGAAGGGAAATATGAGAAGTGAAGAGGGGAATTTGTGCATCAAGTGAAGAACATTAATGAATCCAAGCATACTCCAGAAGGCTATAGTTCTTTAGTTTACAGCTTATTAAATCACAACTTTGGTAATCTTAAAAGACTGGGGGTAGTTTTTTAAATCCTTGACTATTTTTCTAAAATCAATGCCCATCTGTACATTAAAACAGTCTCAAAGTAAGTGTTCCACAACCTGGAGTAGCTGAAAGCCTTTTCCATTTTATTCAATATTATTTTTTAGAATAAGTTTTAATATATTAGCTATTTTATTAATAAGATATACTAAAAACAAAAGATACATTTAAGCACATGTAGAAGGCAGTTTTCTCTACATGTTAGAAAAATTGTACAAAGATAACTCTCAGCTTTATATAAGGTGAAAAAGAAGCAAAGTAAATTTCTGTAACCCTAGAAAGAACACCTTTACTCTCAAATTGTGTTATTCATATGGTTAAAGAAATTAAATCATGCTTTTGCTTCATAAAGTTCCTTAAAATTGAAAGAACTGACATTTGTCTATTTGGTAATAACTTTTCACAGAATAGCTGTGTGGAAGTAACATGAAGGAAACAAGCACAGCAATGTTTGCTGATGCATGTACACTGGCATAATTTGATGAGAATCCCCCCCATCCGTTAAAGATGCAGGCAAGATAATGGAAAAACACTGATTACACAATATATGTTGGCATCTTAACTACAGTAGGTTTTTCCCTTGTTTCCAAAGCTGTGCAAGCTCCCCAAAGAGTATTAAAGATCTCCCCTGTCACTTATCTTACGCATCTTCGTAAAGGACCTACTGTTTTAAGTGGTTCATTGCCACAGCTGTGCTGCCCTCATTTATCTGGGGGGGGGGGGGGGGGACACGGACACAAGAATTACTGCTGGAAAAACATCAATGCACTTTTTAAGAGTTTTATTTCCAAATAGAATAATTAAAGTGTGGTGCTCCATGAGTAAAGACAGATAGATCCTTTCCACACAAACTAAGAGGGAGTCACAGTTTAAAGCCACACTTATTTACAGATTGTCTGCCCTTCTTAATTTCCAAGTGGCAGAAAACCTCAAAATTAGAGTGTGTAAGTGGAAGAAAAAGGAAAATATTGATTTAAAAAACTGGATGTCTGTTCTCAAATGTACACTTGAACTGAAAAAGAAAAAAATATTTCTCTCTACTTGCTACAGTGCTTCGTGAGCACACATTAAATCCAACAAATAAGAGAAAAATGCTGAGTTTGTGGTTGTAAAATGCTTCAGAAGTCACACTGATTAAATGGCAGCTTGTTAGCTACCATCTCTCAACAAGAGTATTAACATTAAAATGAATAAAGAAGCCTTTCCTTAAGTGTTCAGGCATTGTTTGGTCTTTCCTTATCCATAAGGAAATCCTCTGAGAAGGGAGGGTAGCAGGCCTTAAGAATGTAGAAAATAAATTCGTTGAAACTAAAATTTGCAACAGCCAAGTTCAAAAATTATTTACGTTATAAAATGGAGGAACTATTGAAATTGAGTGTAGTAGGGAAGCACAAAAACACTGTCAGAAGTTTTAATAAAAAATAGGATAGAGTTTGGTGATCAAACTGAGCAAGCCTGCAGTTGGAAAAGTAAGAACACAAGAGGTTATGAAGGTATTTTTACCAGGAACTGTAGAAAGGTCACCTTGAACCAACTTCCAGGGTCCAAAATTCCAGGAGCCATCGCAGCAGCTCAGCACTCTGCTAGATAATATATTTGTAAAAACTGTATCTAACACTTCTCTCTCCTCACCTACCCATGAACTCACAAGTGGAGCACTGAAGTTGTTCATTTTAATTAATATATACATGGCTGGGGAAGGAATAGTTTGCAGAAAAATACTTTTTCTTCTAGTATTTATAGCAAATTAGTCTTACAATAGCCGACTCAACTGGAAGGGACCAGTTCTGTTCAGATAGTTCTGGATTCATGAGACAAACATCAGGCCCCACAAAAGAAAATAACTATTAATAGCAGTTCATGTTTTGCTTACACAGACCTGAACGACTCCAATGTTGAACAGGGTCTAACTAATGAAAGTTTAAAAATGACACCTGAAGGCCACTCATGCAAGATCCTAGCCACACAGCCATTCTCACTTTCATACCTGAATTGAGACACTATTTGCTGAATTAAAAAAAAAAACAACACATAAGCCAAGGCAAAAACTATAATCTCTTGACATTTCACAGAAAGACTGCAACAATTATCTAAATTATTCAGTTCCTTAAGTCATCTTCTCTAACAAATGACCAGTTTTTCCCCCAGGTTGTAAACACTACTAGAAACGATTCAAACATCTGTATTCTGCCTGCACTGTGATATTTGTGCAGCTTCCTTGCACTGAAGTATAAACAGCTCAACCTGCCATAGCAGAACAAGAGGAAAGGAAGGAGTCATAGCTGATTCTTTTCCTCAGTGAAAAATGATGACCAACATTTACTTAAAAAATAAAATTATTCTTAGATGAGTATACAACTTAACTCAAAACTGTATTTTTAAAGGAAATATTGTATTCACCCACCACCTTCAGAATACAATATCTAGTGAGACAAACCCAGTTACATTGTCATTTCAGGCATGGCAAACACCACCTCCTTATCATACAAAAAAATCACTATGCTCAGACTCATCTGAGTCTTTTGGTTTAGAATTAAACATGAAAAATAAAATCAGAGGAAATGAACTTGATGTGTGTTGTAACTCAGAAGTGGTATAGTTTATAAACTGAAAACACAATTGCTTCCCTTAACTTAAACAAGAGCATTGCAAAAAGAAATTTTTTAATTCATTTGGCACCAAAGCAGTTGTTCAGGATTTTTGACAAGTTAGTAGTAGCTTGCCTTTTTTTCCCCTGCTCTTTGTAATGACCTATTAACATGGAAGCTACACAACCATGGATGCCAAATTTGAGGAGACACTCCCATTGGAAACCATCCTGTTTTGCTTCCAGAAAAAGCTGGGAGGGCCAACATTACTTGTACCAATTTAACTCAAAATTGCTAAGACACTTCAATATATAAACACTGAAGAACTTTTCCTAAAATGTAAGTGTTCTGACTTTTTTAATCATTAATGTATTTTTATTTATGAAACTCTATGGAATAAAATTGCTTTAAAGAGACACAATGAACTGATTTCTCTGTCAGGTTCCTTAACTTACACTGAACAATACTTAAAAGAACTACTGCATAAATTTTTGCCATTCATTAAATTAAAGCATCGATTAGTATGCTACTCAATTCCAAAAAGGTTAAACCTACTTAGAAATATGTAGGTTCAGAAAGGTTCCTAGCATTTAAACCACCACTCAATAAATCACATTCCACTAAGAACACCTGTATTTCAAAATGGATCAGGCAGCTTTAATAGCAAATTGAAAATGCACTCTAGTTAATAAGAACTTCCCCCTGCAGCATAATGTTGAACAACCAACATACTAACCATCTGCTACTTTTTCAGAGAAATTGCCCACTGTCCCAGGCTTTAATGTAAGTTGAGTTTTTGGAAGATCTCTGTTTTTTAGGAACTGCCTGATTAGCAGTTCCTAGGGGCAGTAGGGAAATTCAAAGCAAAACAAATTCTGTTAACAAAAAGAACAAGTTTCAGTTCTCAAGTGACCGGAGCAGGCTAAACTGGACTAGCTATAGGAACCACAAGAATGTTTATGGCAACACTCGTCAATTTGTGAAGTTGAGAAGTGTTCTGCAAATTGTCTACCTACCCTGGAGTAGACAATCAAACACCAAGAGCTAACACAGCTATCCATGACAGCAGTGAAATCAGCAAGAGAATGTCATTCATCATTTTAAGTATTCCCTTTTGTTTTTCTCTTCAACCCAAGATTCAACAAGCTTTAATAAATACAAAGATGATTCCAACCTTGCCTGAATTAACTATTCGGCAATAACCACAATGTTGCAATGCATGGCTAATTCTGCTTGCATCCATTTATATCTTGAAGACTGGGGTGAAAGGGAAGGAAAAATTTTCTAAAGAAAAACCTGAAAATATTCATTCTGCATTTCTAAAACCACATTAAAAAAAACAAACAAACAAAAAAAACCAGAAAGGATTATTCTTGGATTCCTGCCAAATCACCATTCTTTTAAATACGGACTGAAACTTCATGACATCAACTCTATGGGTTGAGTTACAGGCTACAGTGAAAACAAATGCTAAATGCGAACAGCAATACCTCGGCTACTAGACTGAAAGTTTCAGAGATATTTTTTGATATACAACAAAGTGCCAACCAACAATATAACAGTACCTGTTAAATACATCCAGCAAATACAATCAACCAACCTAAAAATTCCATCCAAGTTATGCAGGGAGGAACCAATTGAGGAAAATAGAAACCATACCTGAAAGAAAAGCCAATTTTTTCTTCAGAATGGGTAATATTACTGAAGCTTCCATCCTACTTCAGATAATTTTCACAGCTCTGAAACAGAAGAAGTTAAAGCTGTCAAACATGTGAAATCAATTATGATATTTCACCAGACTGAGCACTGGACAAAACCCTTCCGTACTTTTTCTGAAAGAAGCAAAGACCACTGTAACCAAACTCCACTGTATTGTAAAAACAACTGTAAAAGAAAAAACATTACCACATGAATTTTCCCATGCTAGCCCATCTAAAGATTTCTTCCCCCTCATAAAAAAAAAAAAATTCAAAGCAGAATCTCAACCAAGGACACTGGTTTAAAGTCCTATTTCCCAACCCTATTAAACTACAATTAATTTAGGGGTAGATTATCCATTTGCTCAGTCATTCAGGTGTAAAATAAGTATAAATTAAATTACACTTTGGCAGACTCTGCCAGGAACATAGTAATTATTTCAAGATCTAATCCTACATATACATCAGGACACTGTCATTAATTAAAGACCTACTAAAGGCAGGGTAAAGAAAAGCATCCAACAGCCAAAATAAGTATGTCTAACCTATAGCTGGAAATTCTTCTCCTCCTTTTGTCTCCAAATCCCTTCTTGCCCTCATGCCATTTTTATTGCATTATGAACTACAATTCACCGTGATTACACTTCTGTGTTTCCTTGAGAAATCAACAGGATACTTGACTTCCAACCTCCTCTTTCAGTCTACACAAAGTAGCAACTGGCATCTGCCTGTAAGCCTTCCCGAGTTCATACTTGCACAAATAAATACATAGAATACAAAAAAAAAAAAGAATGAAAAAGAAATTCTGCATAGAAATACAATATTCAAAATACATGACAATATCAATGCCAAAACCACATAAATTTCTTTTCTTTAATTGTAGACATACGGCTTTAGACCACAACCTGGAGTTCTCTATCTGGGTTTTTCAGCATTCATCCACACTAACAGAAATATTTTCTTTGTGAGGGGGGGTTAGGAATGGGGATGAAGGGGGAGCAATTGAAGTTAAAGTAACTGAATGAAAACTATAAACTATCTAGGAGAAAGAGGGGAAAAAAAAAAGCTAAAAAACAGAGCACTCTAAATAAAGAGCCAGAGGTATAATAAAATAGTTGTTCCTTTTCTTGTTAAAACGTGCTCCATTGTAAACAAAAAATGCCAAGTTATTTTTATTATGGAACAGAAATAACGTTTCAACAAGTTTATACTGTCCCTCTCTGTTCCAGTATGTAATGCTTCACAATGTTCATTCCCATCCCTTATCTCAAAGTCTCCATACCTGTGTAACTTTTGTCAATTATATAAAATACACATTTCCCATATTACAGAAGGAAGCAAACTTCAGTTCTTTCAGAAAAAGTAATCCTAAGACAGCTTGCACTTTAGCAATTACTCAAAAAAGCACCCTATTACGTATGCTTCCTGTATGCTTCAGACAAAAATTTGTAGGTTATAAAACCTAAAACATGTCCATAAGCCACAAAACTCAGGCTGTCATTTTTATCTCTCCAACACCATGCTCAAGCCACCCTGTGCGAACTATGTAACTTTGGCAGTATTCTTTTCTTCTGAAGATGTGGACTATGTACCGGGTAATGATTTTTCCCTCTCCTCCCCAAGTTATATTTCAAAATTATTATAAATAGCTCCTTATTATAACCAATGAAGAAAACCCAAACCTACACAGGTATACTTTGTTTTCTTCATACTTTCACAGATGAACAAAAGTTTGCATCAACTTATTGACTCAAGGGAGCATGTTTCCCTGCGGTTGCAAAAAGACCAATTTATTTAGCATGAAAGCACTGCCTGGATTTCTGCCACAGTGGTGGCACTGTCCATGGATTAAAATAGTTCTTTTGTTCAGTATTTCCTGGAACCAAAGGAAGCATTCTGTTCATTCAGAGTGGAGGGAGGTGAGTCAGAACAATTAGATCAGTCACCGATAATTTCAAACACCTAGCCTTTTCTCCAACAACTCCTGTAGTTTTCAACTGCTTCTCTTCTGTAAGAGCTTTAATGTGCTCCATCTACAAGAAAACTCTCAGAGTAGGTTACCAGAACATACAAAAAAAAAAAATTCTTCAGTTTAAAAATAAGGTTTTACATCCTTCTCTATCTTGTTTAACGCTCCAGAGAATCTCAGAATGATTAAAATAAATATGTGGTTTTTTTTATATTGGAAAGAGAAACAATTTTAAGAGAGCTGTCATCTACTTTCCACTGGGAGCTATCAAAGGGGTTTTAAAAGGGTACACTGGTAAAAAGCAGGTAAGCATATTTAGACCTACAAGTAAAAGAAATTCTTTTTAACTTGTTTGGAGGAAGACAAAATAACAGGCTCTTAAACTGGCCATCAAGCTCTCAATTTAGCATGAGGAAAGAATGATGTGTTGCTCAATGTTGTACCACTATTTAGCTGAAATAAACAGATCCAGTGTCTATTCATCAATAAAAAAAGGTATTTGGGTTCATTAAATAAAAAAAAATAAAAAAACCCCAACAACCTACAGAAGGAAAACAAAAGCACTGAAGAGAACAGATTTCACTTGAGGAAAGTGAAATACTTAGAAGCTGAATTTATCACTTCCAAAACAAATGACATAACTTTTGTATGCACAAGTTTTACAGATATCAAACAAGCTAAAGAGGTTAAATCCGTTTGCTGAATTTCAGAAACAATCTAGAGTGCTGCATGCCCACCTGCAACCTATTTTGCCAATTAAAATACCATATGCTCAAACTGTAAAACTTGTGTATACAGGAAATATGTTAAATAAAAGAACTTAGAATGAAGAACCTCACTGAACTTGTTTAGAATAACCTAGGCTTTCAGGTTTTTAAATCAGTAAAGCAATGTTAATCTCTAACACTCTTCTGAAGATTTCCATGGAAAGCTGGCAAGACTAAATCCACATAATATTTCTGCTTAAAACCTAAATATTTGAAAGGTGTTCCAATGAACTAGAACACTCTTCCAACCACCCCCACCAAGTAGAAACTAGTAATACTTGTGAAGAAAATTCTCTTAAATACAAACTTAAATGAAATAGGTATACATTAGGGGGAGGATGGGAAGCTGGGGAAACAGTAAACACACAGTAAAAAAAAACAAATTATAGAAGAGATAAAAACACAAACAATGTTTCAGGCTGCATTACACTGAAATCAAATCATAACTTCGTAGGCTGCATCCCATGTCATTTCTCTCAAAAGACTGTAAGTTACATTGGTTTACTCAACACAGTTTAAAATTCTAATAGTTTTTGGTTGCCCTTTTTTTTTTTTTTTAAATAAAAATGCCACAAAACCACACAATAAGAACTAAGTGTAATTCAGCAGAGAAGTGCATAACTTGTGATTAATGGAACATATCACCTGTATTTTCTGCTACACATCATTTAATAGAAAAAATAAATAAGAACCAATGTCCAGATGCTATTTAAAGCCATTTTAGAAGTCCATTAAAGACAGCGAGCAGAGAGAGAAGTTGACGGACTAGCACTGACTAGACCACTGGAAGAGAAAAGCTGCCCTCCCAACTGTTTTCTTTCCAAGCAACCCAGTGGGAACCACTGGTCAAAACATTAAGAACCAAAACAAATTCAGGCTCAGTGAGAACAAACTTTTACTCAAATTCGTTAGACCTGAAGCATTCAATACTCTCAGTACATGGTACAAGGTCTTTAAATGGATTAGTCTGTTCTCAAGCATCTACTGCAAGTTTCAAAGAATGAGTACTTTTTCCATTCCCTCATCATGTATGAAGCAAAAAAGCATAGCTGGTCTGTTAGGCACAGGACTAAAAGTTAGAGGGAAGGGAAGCTGGGAAGGAGAATCATGTTTGTATTCCTTGTTCTGTGATGAAATACACATACGGCTTTCAGCAAGTCATTTATCCCTTTTAGTCTTCATTCAGTCCCTCCATCTAATTCCCTTTTTACAAGAGTTGTGATGTTTAATTCATTAATGTTTTTGAACACTTGAGAGATTAGAAGGAACTCCACAGATCTGCCCATAAATAACCAAGCAGCAGATGGGCAGCTACATTCAAAACTGTATCAGCTTGCAAGTACGGCACAAACAATAGCATAAGTAACAGATATTCTGAAGTTCTGAAGAAAAAAGCCTCAATCATATAGAATGAAATTCTCTTTCTCTTTTAAAATCAACTTCTGAATTGCATACCTTCAAAATTAGCAGCTTCATTCCCTGAAGCCAGCATGCAAGGGATTTTCAGATGCTAACTTCAGCCCACAAAGCATTACCCCATGCCTTCCCTGGATCAGCTTAAAAAGAAGTTCATCTGTTCCACACAGAAATAAAAAACCATGTGTGAAAGACACTGAAAGCTGAATATCATCTTTACCTATGTAGATTAGTATTTCACCTTCCTTTAAAGATACATTAAAGGATGTCATCCCTCCCACTGCTAAATGGCAGATGACATACAGAACAGAAATAAGGTGTCTCCAGGGCTGATATCCCAGAGTAATTTGAGAAGCCCATCAAACCTGCCCCAAAAGTAGAAATAGGTTGTATGCGTTCATTAGTTAATGCTGTCTTCAATTAAGGCGCAAATGGAACTGGGTTACTGAGCAGGACATCTTTAAAATAACACTAAAACCTGACGGATGAACATCAGTTTAAGTAGTCAAATGGAGTGTTTGGTTTTTACTTTTTAACATATTATGAGCAGCACTAATAAATTTAACATTAGAGCCCTTTAAGATCTCAGGAGAAAAGATACTCCACATACGCTGGGAAGATCCAATCAAGTACTTTGTCTTTTCAGTTATTTAATTCTTTTTATTTTCTTTTATTCTGTTTTTGACTGTCTGTTAAAAATATTCATAAAAAAGAGTATACTGAAGTTTTATATTATGCCTGATTTTCAAGTGGTACACAACAAAAATATTTCTGACCTTCTAGAACCTATTAATTCACAATAAAGAATTAGGAAAATAAAAACCACAGACTCAGATTTCATCAGTATGCAAGCTTATTAAAAGCAAAATGTAACTGTATAATGTCAGTTCCATTACACATACAGTCAGTACTTCACCTTGGCAACTTGTGACAGCAGATGAATGGACAGATTGAAAATGTGCTCCACTTTTGGTTAAACCTAGGGTTAACAGTTTGCTAGGCCGGGATCCAAAAGCACATTGTCACAGCCACAAGAAATTTAAGCTTGGAAAAACTGAATTTCTTCTGCCCCATTTTCACCTGGAATTTCAATCCTTACTTTGTACACTTTACTTGGTAAATATAGCTAATAATAAAATTTAGAAGAGGGGTCTGTTAACTGGTTCCTCAATTTAATCCATCTTCCATATATTAATTTCCCACCCTTTTCACCCCCCTCAACAATTCTGTAAGAAATAAATAAGGGATGAGTGGCAAAAAGAAGTAACAAGTAATATAATGAAAAGTGAACCAGCAAATGCAGAACAAATGAGTGAAAGCTTATGACATCCAGTTAAAAACTCCTAAGTTTTAACTTCAATGTCAGTTACCTATTCATTTAGAACCACAGAATCATAGAATAGTTAGGGTTGGAAAGGACCTTAAGATCATCTAGTTCCAACCCCCTTGCAGGGACACATCACACTAAACCATGTCACCTTGAACGCTGCCAGGGGTGGAGCATTCACAACTTTCTTGGGCAACCCATTCCAGTGCCTCACCACCCTAACAGGAAAGAACTTCCTCCTAGATCCAATCCAAACTTCCCCTTTTTAAGTTTCAACCCATTATCCCTTGTCCTATCACTACAGTCTCTAATGAACAGTCCCTCCCCAGCATCCCTATAGGCCCCCTTCAGATACTGGAAGGCTGCTATGAGGTCTCCAAGCAACCTTCTTTTCTCCAGGCTTAACAGCCCCAACTTCCTCAGCCTGTCTTCATACAGGAAGTGCTCCAGTCCCCTGATCATCCTCATGGCCCTCCTCTGAACTTGTTCTAACAGTTCCATGTCCTTTTTATGTTGAGGACACCAGAACTGCACACAATACTCCAAGTGAGGTCTCACAAGAGCAGAGTAGAGGGGCAGGATCACCTCCTTCAACCTGCTGGTCACACTCCTTTTGATGCAGCCCAGGATACAGTTGGCTTTCTGGGCTGCAAGCGCACGCTGCCTGCTCATGTTCACTTTCTCATCAACCAACACCCCCAAGTCCTTCTCTGCAGGGCTGCTCTGAATCTCTTCTCTGCCCAACCTGTAGCTGTGCCTGGGATTGCTCTGACCCAGGTGCAGGACCTTGCACTTGGCATGGTTAAACTTCATGAGGTTGGCATCAGCCCACCTCACAAGCGTGTCAAGGTCCCTCTGGATGGCATTCCTTCCCTCCAGCGTAACAACCAAACCACACAGCTTGGTGTCATCAGCAAACTTGCTGAGGGCGCACTCAATCCCACTGTCCGTGTCAGCGACGAAGATGTTAAACTAGACCGGTCCCAACACTGATCCCTGAGGGACACCACTCATTACTGGTCTCCACCCAGACACTGAGCCATTGACCACAACTCTGTGTGCAGCCATTCAGCCAGTTCTTTATCCACCGAGTGGTCCATCCATCAAATTGATGTCTCGTGTGGGACAGTGTCGAACGCTTTATACAAGTCCAGGTAGATGACATCAACTGCTCTACCCCTGTCCATCAACTCCCTAGCCCCATCATAAAAGGCCACCAAATTGGTCAGGCAGGATTTCCCCTTAGTGAAGCCATGCTGGCTGTCACCAAGCACCTTGTTGATTTTCATGTGCCTTAGCATGCCATCCAGGAGAATCTCCTCCAAGATTTTGCCAGGCACAGAGGTGAGACTGACTGCTCTGTAATTCCCTGGGTCATCCATTTCCCCTTCTTGAAAATGGGGGTTATATTTCACTTTTTCCAGTTGTCAGGAACTTCACCTGACTGCCACATTTTTCAAATATGATGGCCAGTAGCTTAGCAACTTTATTTGCCAGCTCCTTCAGGACCCGCGGATGGATTTCATCAGGACCCATGGACTTGTGCACGTTCAGATGTTTAAGATGGTCTCGAACCAGATCCTCTCCTACAGTGGGCCTAGGGTCTTCATTCTCACAGTCCCTGCGTCTCCCTTCCAAGACCTGGGTGGTGTGGTCAGAGCATGTGCCAGTGAAGACTGAGGCAAAGAAGTCATCAAGAACCTCGGCCTTCTCCAAATCCATTTCACAGAATGGTAGACCTTTTTCTCAGAGCAAGTGTCAGAAGGAAGAGCACCAGGCACAGAAAGAATGTAACTGTGGATGCAAAACAGCATCTGCATGTACAGCTGTGAAACACAATACTGATACCTCAGTCTTTTCATACAAGGGCACGCACAGGATACTGTGCGGCAATCAGCACTCTCTCAAAGAACGACACATCTTTGGATTTCAAAGGCCATGTCCACAAGCACCAGCCTAGCTCCAACCTTAAGGAACACAGGCAGAGGTCTGTAATGATGCTATAATATGACATAAAAAAATGATACCTTGCTAAAGTTTTCTACCCTTTCCAGCCTCAGGCCAAGCTAAACACTTATGCTATATGTTAAGTTACAGCAGTTTTCAGGCTTCTTTAACCTAGAATAGTAAAGAAAGTAAGTCACAGGTTTTGGATGCATGCCTACATTTCCTTTTCTGCCACATTTACAGAGGGAGACCTCATGCTTATATCCCTGTAGAATCCTCTAGCTTTCCCTTGTAGGATGCTACCACAGGCAGCAAAAGACTCTGATATACCTTATACCCTCCTTGCAACAGGCAGTCGAAACAGCAGAAGTTGCAGTCATCTGTTGCAGCCCAAACTCATTTCAGACCAAATGTCTACAGAATACATAAAATAATACAGTTTGGGAGGGTGCTTCTTCCACCACTTTCCACATAGCAATAGGTCAACTGAAATATTATGTTCAAAGCACAGCAGAGAAGTTTTCTTCATTGTACTTTCCCAACACCCATAAAAAAAAAAAGGTTGAGTTTTTAAAATTTTATTCAGAATTTATGATCTATGTGGAAATAAGACAGAAATCACATAGATCATGAATTCTCCCAGATAGTTTCTGCATCACAGGGGGTGAGGGAGTAGAAAAATAAACAATGAATAGTAAAATAAAATTACATACGCTACCTCTTTCTACTAAAAAAAACAAACACCAAACAAACATACCATAAAATCTTGCAAGAATGACCTAGGGGAAACAAGTACCTTATCAGTGGTTCTTCAGGTACTGTCCAAAACCAGTTTGTGATGGAAAATCACAGACAGCTCTTAGGCCTTCAGTACTTCATAAAACTAAGACAATGGGAGGAATGAGAGTGGACAATTCAGGCCATAAACAAACAGCTGCACTGATGAGTGCAACTATTGGCAGCGTGGAGCAAATGAAAAATCACTGTCCTCTGGGGTGCAAGCTTAGAACTTCTTGTTCCTTTTATAACATTTATATAAGAAAACAATCTACAACTTCATAACAATACACATACTTGGCATTGGTTAAAAGTGCATGTGGCTCAGCCCCTCAGGAATCACTTCTTAGCTCAGTATAGTGACACTACAACTAAACGGAAGCAAAAAGAAATGCTCTTCTAAACCAAAAGCCATCTCGAGTGGCAGGGAGTATGAAAGGGCAAGGGACTGTTTGAGATGAAAAGTGGGGTGGGGTGCGTAGACATTAAGTATAACAAACACAAAAGAAGTCACCCTTTTTATCTAGGGAAAACTAGCCAAAAAACAAGAAGAAAACTAATGAGAGGCTAAGAAAGAGAGTGTTTACAAATCTCAGACCTCAGGTTTGATACCTGACTAAAGTTCTCAGCTCAAAAATAAGGTTTTATGTGGACCTTGAAACATCCTAAACAATTTCCTTGATATTTTAAAAAAATAGAAAAAAATATAGTTGTGTCTACCCCCTCATGCCCCACACAACACACAAAGTAGACACAATGAGGACAGTAATAGAAATTTCTTCATAAGGAATAAATAAGTAATTTGAGAACTTTGCTAATCTTAACCAAACATGGAAGTAGAAGAGATTGAAGTATACCAGATCTAGGACATGGATAGCTTGTTCATTCACATTTTTACATTTCAAAATATTTCAGAAATGCATTCATTACTATATAAAAACACTTTCTATGCTACCCTTTAATTACTGTGTGCAAGAGAAATAAATATTTCCTTAATTTGCACAATGTCTTCAGGTTTTGTACTCACACTGAAAATTCTGAACATTTCAGCTGCAAACCACAAATTAAACTGGCCACAGCAAGCACCTGCAGTAACCACAGCGTCTCTCCCACCCCCTTGAAATAAAATATGTATCTTTCCACTATCATAAATGGTCACATGCTTCAGAACACCTTGCATAGCTGTAACACTTGTACATTTTCCACTGCTACTATTTTCTAAGACCAAATTAGAATGCAACACGAAAGAATTAGCAAACACTACTCTAGCAGAGAGAAAACAGACAACCTGCATTCAGGGTACACTGATTAGAAAGAAACCATTGTTTTTACCCACACTGAAATGCAGATAAGCTACAGCACCTTCCATCCACATATCATGTGCCCACCCTGACCCTTTCGCTCAAGTTCAGCCATACATATCATTTAGTGACCAAAACATGGAGTTAACATCAACCCTATTCATCTTATTCTTCAAATAGCACCTTTTATTTGGCCTTATTTGGTGTAGTCAACATTCATCCCTCATGATATCTAAAAACATATCTCAAATTCAACTCCACTAATACCACAGTTTAGCTTGGCTCTGAATTCTCATGTGCCTACTACATCTAACTCTCTTGAACCACTGATTCTGCAAAGCCCTAAATCATACCTTCATCTCCTCTTAACTACTGTAATTTCCTTCTTAATGGGTTCTTTATGTCCCAGCGTTCCAAACTTCAGCTTGTCCAAAATGCAGCAGTTCATCTTCTCACCTAGAAACAGGAAAACAACACTCCATATTGATTTTTCCAATTGCTTCCTTATAAAATCTAGAGCCTGCTGTAAGGAAATCCTCACTTCAAAAATCCCTCACTCATGTAGTCTAAAAAGTAAAAAGCCTGCCAGTACATTTTTCTATTGCTCACTCAAGGTATTCAAGTGTCTCATTTCCCTCCTGTGCGCAAGCTTATCAACCCCATCAGAGCAGCAATAATCTATCTCAGTGCTTTTAAAACTTCCTTCCTTACTCTCATTCGCAACCACAGCTCCCTCTTTAAACCAGAATTCACTTATCTCCAGTCTTATGCTTAAGAACACCCTCTAATACATTTGCAAACACTACTCTGTGTGAGACACAAAGACAAGCTGCTCTATTTCATAATATCTAAGCTACACTATGTAACATAACTTTAGTATCAGAAGCCTTGGTTCCATTATAGCCCCTTTCAATTATTTTTTTTTAAGCCACAAGACAAAAAACAGAGTAAAGTAGGTAAATTAAAAAAAGGTATGAGTTACAGCCTAAATACGTTTGTGCAAAACCACTTGAAAAGGTATTGGTCTATGCAGTGTATTTATCAGCGTCAAAGCTTCAGAAGAACCAAATACACTGCATGAAATTTGTAAAGATCTTATGTTCGATAGAGATTGATCTTACTTACCATTGGTACTGGAATGCAACACTGTTAGGGATATAAGTCTGAGCTCTGGTTCCCAGGTTCTGCAAATTTAAATGAAAACAGCATTTGGCCATATTTTTAGATAATACCCAATCTAAAACTTTATTTCCTTGGAGGTTGAAAACAAGGGTTTATTACAAAGCTGCATTACAGGGGAGTCAACCTTTCCATTATATATTCACAAATACTCGTAAGCTAAGCATTCAAGTTGAGACAGCAGGAATCCCGTATCTTCTACCAAAACATATGGTAGACATCAACATTGTTTATAATTAGCAGGCAATGCTCCTGAGGCAGCACCGGAAGCAGCAGGAAAGTAACAAAAACCAGAATCCTTGTAGTATGCTTTCAGTCAGAGGTAATCTCCACAGATTTTTAGGCAAAAATCAAAACTGGAACAGTGTTAGTGTTTTTTGTGAAGAGGAGGAAGAAAGTATTCCTACATGCTAATCACTGCTATAGAAGTAAAAAAGGAAAATTATACTATGAATTGAAAAGATTTAAATAGTCCCTATTTGTATCAGAAGATGCAGAACTGACATAAGCATCAAAAATAAAAACTTAGCAAACGCTTTAAGACTTGAACAAAACCTTGTACCTGATCAAATTCCACTCACCAACAAAATCCAAAAGCTCCAAACCAAAAATTAGTATATACTGTGTTACAGGCAAAGCCAAGATGCTAAACATGTCATAGGTTTTATAGTTATTCAGATGCAGCAATCACAGTAATCTCTCTCACAAGTTTTAAATTAAAAAATGAAAACAAAAACCTTGTATTACCAAAGTTTTCTAGTCAGGCAAATAAACTAGAAGCCTCAGAAAGATGGAGAGAAGGCAAGAGTACACACCTATAGATCAGAAACAAGAATATTAATAGCAAGCACTCAAGAAAGCTTGAACAGAGATGCAGAGGAAAATCCTGCAACATCACGTCTTACCCTTACAAAACCCTAAGGTAGGCTTTGCTTATTTTATCAGAGGCTACCTACTGAAGGTGTTCTGTATTTCTCCAACCACCCACAGTCACTTAGGAATAAAGGTGTTCCTCCTACTACTCTATTCCTAAGGACTCGACAGTTATGCAGCACTGTACTGAAGTTCACCATCAACAAACATACCTAGTCTCTTCCAGAAGTACTCCTCCCTACTACCGCCCAGATGGAGCAGCCAAATGAAACTGAGCTGATCTTCACCTGACTCCTTTATTCTGCTGCTGGAAAATAACAGAGCTATGTACATTTCCCATGTTTACATAAGCTTTACTGAGAAATATGATTCCACAGCAAATTCAGAATTATAGCCTACAATTCCAAGAGATATCATGGGACTGATTCTTGTAAGAAATGTAAAGACACATGGGGTTTCTTCTCTTAACTTTTGCTTCTAGGGAAACTGATATTACAGATCATCTAAACTGCAAATAAAACATCACCCATTAGCATTCTAATTTAAGAAAAATAGTTAACAGATGTCATTTCACATAACTGCTCAAGCAGCAATCTATGATGTAGAGAATTGTGCAATATCCTGAAATCCAGCTGTAAAAAAAAAAATTTTACTTGCTCCTATGTGTTTGGTTTGGGTTTTTTTTTGGGGGGGTTGTTTTGTTTTTCCCTGAAGGAGCAAAGCACGATCCACACATGACCAGCAAGCCCTATGCCTCTGACCAAGCTTCAGCTCTATTCTGTCGTCCACCTTCCCCCTTTCCTCAAGTTTCTGGTACAGCCAATGGGACTAGGGCTATAAAACCCCTGCATTCAGAAAAAAAAAAGAACCCTTATCAGCACAAAGTTCATTGCCATCATTGTTCCTACAATGCAGTAACAGTATTTATTATTTACTACACACTGAATCCTACCAGACAATGTCACTGGGGGGGGGGGACACGGGGGAGACGACACGACCCACAATAACTTCCTCATTACAGGGAATTTTAATGTGTGAACAAAGTCAACATCCAATCATTAGGACAACACAGATACTGCAGTACTAAAAATGCAGAAGACCGGTATTTCCCTTGGGACGAAAAAAAGACGAAAGAACTGACAAAAGCCTCTACTAATAGCCATCCATATAGGCTTTACCAATTTTGCCCATTAAAAAAATTACTACAGCTAAAACAAACAACAAAAAAAAAAAACACCACCACATTCACCTCTATTGACTCCACTCTTGCTTCCATACGCTCCTTCAAATTCTTTGACAAAGAGGGTGCGTTACATCTCCCTCCCACAATTGCCTGGCTAAAACAGCTCTGTTAAGGGCCAGCAAGGGATACTACAGCTATGGAGAGAAAGGCAAAATTGGTCGACAATGGACCTGTCAAAAACTCAAAGAAATGGCAACCACTGCTCTGAGCAACCACTGCTGCAGCAGTGAATCAGCTTCCCGACCAGGCAGCGCTTCCAGAAACCCAGAGCGCCCGGCGCCGAGGCAGTGTCACGGCCATGACTCTTTCCCACCGGCCTGCCACCCCACTGACCACCGGCGACACACCGGGGAAATCCCCGACAGAAACCGAGCGGGCCGAGGAAGCGGCTCCCGCGCCCGGCTCCCTCGAGGGAGCTCTCCCTCCCCCGAAGCACTCTCCTTCCTCCCCAAGCCTGCCGTGACACCCGCGACGGGGCCCGGCAGGAGGGGGCCGCCGCCCTCCCGCGCCCGCACAAAGGCAAGCCCCGGCGGCGGCAGCCACTCGGGAGCCCCCCCGCCACTGCGGCCACGTATGTCGCGGCAGCACGAACACCACCCAAACATGCTGCACGGGTTCCCCGGGGCTGTACCGACTTGCTGTGCCGCTGGCCCGGGAACAGCCAGAGGGACCTACAAAGGGTCAGAGAAACAGGGGAAGGCGGAGGGGGAACGGGAGTCCGCAGACAGCCGCCAGGTACCACGTTACCCTCCCGCCCGCCGCTGGGATGCGGCGCCGGCCACGAAGGCCGTGCACGAGAGGGCTGCCCTGCCGCAAGGCCGGGCCACCGCCGCCCCCTGGGAGGGCCGGGAGCCAGCCGCCGCCGCCCGAAGGAGCGGGGCGCTCAGCGGCTCGAACGCCGCCGCCCGGGGAACAAAGCGCGGCCAGGCCGCGGGGCCTGCGCTGCGCCTGGGGCCGCCCCTCCGCGGGGCCAAGGCAAAGGAAGAGCCCCTCCGGACGAGGCTACTTACCCGGCTGCAGCGCTCCAGGTGCCCAGGCTAGAAGGACGCCGGCGGCAGGGCAGGCGAATGTGGGGCGGAGTCTGGACCAGCCCGCTCTGGCCAGGCTGTGGCGCCTGCCCTCAGCCGCCTTGTACCGCCTCGCTGGCCCGGCGGCAGCCCCCGGGGACAGGGGTGGCTCCAACCCCTCCCCCGTCGGCAAGCAGACAGCGAGGGCCGGGCGCTGCCGGGTCCACGTCCGCCTCCACTGCACTCGCCTGATCGCCGCCGCCTGCGGGGCGCGGAGTTGCGGTACCGCCCGCCCTTCCCGCGGAGCCGCCGCGGCAGCTGCGCGGGACCCGACCCGGCAGAGGCGGCAGCGGAAAGCCCCACCCCAGCGGGAGACAATGGGCTGCCGCTGCCCCACTAGAGGGTGCCGAACGCTGCAGGCCCCGGCCAGGTCCCTTCCCGCCGCACCGGCCGCCTGTTAGTATGGAGCGGCCGTTGTAAATATCCGGCGTGGGACAGGCCGGAGTGCGACCGGCTATAGATACTTCAGCACCAGCAGTCGTGCTTTAGTTTGGAGATACGTGTGCCTGAGCGTGTGTTGAATGCAAATCAAATCCATCTCAGGTGCAAACTGGCCGTTGACAGAGCCTCAGGCAGACGTCGGCTTCCACTTGCGGCCCTTTGTCATCCGTGTTTCAGTAACTGCAACACGTATTTTGTTTCACCCGTATTGGAGCTAACAGCCTATCCTCTGTCCGGGTTCCCGGACAAACATCCTGAAACCCTGTAGCGCCAAGGCTAAAATAATACAAGAAAACAGGGAAAGAAACACTTTGAGAAAACCGGCTAGGATGCTTGTATTGCATTCAGTCTAACTGCCCTGGGTCATGGTACTGTCAGACTACAATCTCCTGCTGAACAAGTCATTTTTAGGCTACATAATGGCTCTCTTAAAAAAAAAAAAAAAAAAGGATAAAAGGATTCTGCAAACTCTATCTTAACAATAATTTTGCTCTTATTATTTGCAGATCAGTTGAGTACCATTTACTATATCTCATTCCAAACATGAAACATAGGCTGCAACTGCTTGGTTTCTACCCTCAAAACACTGTTTGCACAACCAGTGTTTTCCTGCTTTTCTGATGGCTGCCTGTCAACATCTGCTGTAGCAATTACCCTCAGTGTCACTGTGGGAGCATGCTGGTGGTTCTCACCTGGTCCCTGGCCTCTGCTTGACTCAGAAAGCTGTCCCCCTCTTAGCAGCACAACCCATTGGAAGTGCAAGAGCTGGAGAAAGAATTGTCATTAAAATTTTCAGAGGAGGTCTACTGGCCAAGGCCTGTCAGCCTCAAGAACATACCTTTTCTGTCTGGTCTTGCTTTCCTGGAAGAATATTTAAAACAGCAGCAAAAGAAGAGGAAGAGTAAAATAAACTTCCCTAACAACCTGCAGAGATAAACAGAGATAAGTGATCTTCATTAGCTACAGAGTAATTGCTGTAGAGAAGAATAAAATTTATTTTGTACTTTATTTAAAGAGGAAAATTTTAACAATATTTTAAATGTGTGCAGTAATGGTTTAAGAGTGTGCCAGATACAACTTTTAGGTCAGTCTTCTTATATATTGTATACTTGTGGTTAGAAGGTAAGACAATAGGAAGCAGCTTTCGTTGTTCAAAAACATTTACTTAGGATCACACAGGCTCTATCTTTGTAATCTCTGACTGCAGGACAGTATTTCAGAACACTAGATGAGTGACCTGATACCCAGCACCAATGTCCAGCACAAGAGAAAACTTAGTGGAAGTCATTGGCACATATATCTTTAAAAGGAGTAAACAAACATCAACAAAGGCAAAACTACAGCTGACTGCCATACTGAGTTTTTCTTTTGTTATTTCACACTTCCAAAAGCCTCCGTAGTGGAGGCATTACATTCTGTGTACCATTCCTGTCACATAGCATATACAATAAATGAAAGTACAGCTCTTTATGACAAGACTATGTACTTTTTGAGCTTTTTTTTTTTTTTTTTTTGGCTTGTGGATCTCAAACATTTCAGTATGCATGGACTAATTAATTTCTCATAGTTACTGGAGAGGAGAGGAGCGGGAGAGAAGTCCAAATGACATGACCCAACTTCTCCATTTTCCAGGGCATGAATGAAATCTCTTCGAAGTGACGGAACCAGGCTTCCCTCCTGCAGAGAGAAGAGGCAGAAATCTTGCAGCATCTTTCAGTACTCCAAGACAACAACCCAAAAGTCACTGTCATTTGTACTCTGGCTGGAGCTGTGCTACTTTGAGTATCTAGATCTTGCAACAGGTTTTCTGACTTTCCTCTTTCATGTGTACTCTGTTGAGTGATTTGCCAGGACGGAATCTGAGATGATTAATTTTGTTTAAGGTCATACCGGCAGTTCAGAGTTGTAGTTAATTGCTTTTGCCATGCAAACTGCCAGCAGGAAGAAATCAAAGTACGTTTTTGTATCAACGATCCATTTGATCAAAACAGGCCTTAATATATGCTACTATTCTCTAGCAGTCATGCCAGATTTTCTCAAACATGAATAAAAGTAAATAGGCTGAAAACATCCTGAGCTTTGGGCACTGTGCTGCATGTCAACACAACAGAGCCTTTGTTTACAGGCAGAGCACTGCTCTCACAATAGTTACTGCTTCCAGCTTCAGTTGCTGTAGTTCCAGAAAAATCAGCCATCAAAGAAAAACAAACCAAACCCCCACATACTTCTAGTGGACACCAGCACATCAGCATGACGCTGATCAAAGATGCCACCAGGTGTGACAGTGGTCATCCTATGCAGCACTCCATGGACCCGCTATGCACCTTCGTTCTTGCTCCACTTGTCACTAGGACACAGGTAGGCACTGCCAGGCACAGCATTGCTGGAAACCCTCCACCTGGAGTGATTTACTCTGCTACCTTGCTTGTTATTTGATTCCACACCTCTGAGCAATAGACAGACAGACA